AGTCAAAAGCGAGTTTCTACGTAGAAACGTTTTGCTAATCTAGAAGCGTAAAATCGTAAGTTTTTAAGTTTTAAAGCGAAGTTTTTAACTACGTAAGTAGTAAAAACTAAGTTTTTGTGTAGAAGCGTTTTAGCGACCTAGAAACGTAAAATCGTAAGTTTTTAAGTTTTAAAGCGCGATTTTGACTACATTGATTCGAGGCATGAGTCCTAACCAGAACTTCAATTTGATGCCTGCTAAAGCCAATGGTGGCTCTGAATTGCCCTACGGATCCTTGGAGAAGAAAGCCCCAATTTTGTTTCTGAAGAACACTACTACGACTTTCCAGAAATTCCAGTTCGAGCAACCTTTCATCGACCCAATTTTGGAGCAGTTTTGTGAGGCATATGAGTAAAGGAGGTCCAAAGCTTTGAGGTCAAAGCTTTTTTATGGGGGAGGGATTGATATGATCTCAAATTGGTCCTTAATCAAGCTGGAATTTATTGATCAAGAAGGTAAGCTAAGTACATTAAAGAACACTGAATTTTGGCTAAGTCCTTTTACAGTTTCAGGTAGCCAACTTTGGACGTGTGAAACTCTCTATTGGTTCAATGGAAATGGATGTTTGAGGGGTTTCTTTTTTTGAAGATGCTGTCACCTTCTACACGTTGACATGCTTTGGAGATCAATTGGAAACCCAGAAGGTTGTTTTACATCCTGTGCAAAAGTGGAAGTTGAAACTGGAAAACTGGCAGAAAAAGACTAAGGCGTGGAGACAGTTCGAGGAGGGGACTTTGGAGCTCGATTTCTGGAGATTGAGGAAGAGTCGATGGTCCAGATTCATACATCAAGAAAGTAGGTTTCTTCTGCTACAACAACATGGAATTGGATGACTAGAATGAAGACTAGAAGGCCTCGATCGAAAGCTCCAAAGATCATGTCGAAGCTGAGTTTCTGTCTTTGGAAACCAGGCAATCCTAATCCTTCTCGGATTAGGATTCCTTTGTTGTTTTGTATTTAATTCCTTTTCATTGTTGGTTTTGATTTTCTTTTCCAATTGTAATTTGTTTAGGACTTCTCTAAGAGTAGTAGGATTGGCTAAGTCTATTTAAGTAGCTTTGGTTCATTGTAATTTTCAGATTTTAGAGTTGAATTAATAAATCGCAAGGTTGAGTTCCATAGCGATTGCTTTGTGAATTTGGAGATCTTCCTAGCTGATTCTAGGTGATATTTTGAGCTTGTATCATTCAGTTAATCCCAATGTTCGTGGCCAAGCTTCTACCCTCAGTTTTCAAGCCTCTCTTCCCTTCGAGAAGGTTGCACAAAATCACCATCCCAAACACAAACTCAAACACTATTTTGTGTTCTTCGTTACAGAGTTTTTGATTCAATCTTTGGATTGAATCTAGCTGTGCTTCTCTTATTCAAAACCACCCATCTAGGTGGTTATCACAAAGCCAACCAGAGGAGATTATTCCCATCTTTATGAGTATGACTGCTTTGATTTGTGTTTTCCTCTCTCTCTCTCTATGGAGTAGACCTTTCTCTCACTTGGGTATGAAGAACCCTAGTTCCATGTGTTAGGGATTTGAGTTGTAATAAATTTTGGGATGATATACTGATTGATTTTAATCGATTGAAGTGTGTTTATTAAGTCAATATAATCCTGACAACTTGTTTATGTGACTAGGACAACCTATATTGATGATTGAGACGTGCAGTAGAGGGTTCATTGTTTCAACTGTTTGCTTACCAACTGTGACTTGGATTGATCACTTATTCTTTACATTCGCTTATGCTTCTAGTTCAGGGAATCAGAATGAGAGATATAGTATATAGGTAGTCATGTGAGATTTGAGCCTGCTCGTTTCTTTCTTGTGCGATAGATCCCTCTTCCATGATGTGTACCATTAACGTTGCCACTAGTTAGGATGATGGAGGCATAGGATTAGCTCATGACCAAATTGATTGTCCTGGTGTGTCATATCCCCTAGTCAACCCCTTTGAGTCGTGTACTTTCTTCCTTTCGGTTTACAATGAAAACTCACCCTTATGCATCTCTTAGAGGTTCCATAGGGTGGTTTTTGTTTTCTGCTAGAAATACGATGAGGGTTGGAGGTAGTTCTTCAAAATTGGGCATGTGATTGCAAGGATAAAAGATGTGTAAAATGGATGGTTCTCTCAAGAAAAAAAAGAAGGAAAAAATAAATGAAAACAAAAGAGAGCCACCACAAAAATCTTAATCATGCTCATTAAATAGTGTTTCTTAGAAGTTTGGCTTAGAAATGCTAACATGTTGTGACCTCCTTCACTCTTGTGCTCTAAAGAACTTGATTAATGCGAAATTGCAGAAAGACAGTAAATGGTTTGAATGAATGTTGTTGTGTGGGTTATGGAACTGTGGAACCTTTTGTATGAATTCTTCCACCAACTAAAAGACATTTTCCCCGTGTACAAGACCCTAGCCAGTCATCTGAACACGTGTCTAAGACCTTCTGACTAGTTAGTGGTGGCACTCGATATGTGAACTCTATCATTTAGAGGCTGCCATCATGGTGAATAGATGTTAGGATTGAGAGAATAGGCATGTGCTTTTTTCGCATCGAATTGTCCTGGCCCCACTGGTCGAGAGGGAGCGATTCATTTCCTTATATTCTTTACATTTTTTTACCCTGGTGAGGACCTAGATTGCTCGGTCTTGATTCTGATGTCTTGAATTTCATGCATGTGGCGACTGTCTTGAATAGGTGGTTGAGTCAAGTCTATGTTGGTTGGTGAACAGAAGGGAGACTCTTCCTCTACCCGATTTTGCTGCAATCGAATGTCATCAATGCTGGTTGTCTAGGTTGTCGTGGAGATTGCTCATGTGTTGATGTCTAAAAGCCAGTACGATTCACGTGTTTTGTGCCTATATGATATGTCCCCAAAGTTTGCATGATTAAAATGTTTTGAGATTACCTTGTATCTGACTTGGTTTGTTTGGGGACAAGCAAACGGTTAAGTGTGGGGGAATTCGATAGCGTCGTATTTGCACATGTTTGCACCCTTGTTTCTTAACTGTTTTAGCTCTCGGATTTGTTGTTCCTTGGCCTATTTTACGCTAGGTTGTTTTATTTTGTCATATTTCAGGTCCTATCGAGTAAAGGGAGGCATAGGCCCAAGTTTCGGGTCAATCGTAGGTCGTTTGGTCACTCAAAAGCCTCTCACAAGTGGAGCCGAGGAAGAAATACGAGCAGCCTTCCCCTAATTACGGCCGTAATTCACAAATTACTGCCAGTATTTTTTTATGTCGAGCCTGGTGATGGCTTAGGTACAAAATACGACCAGTATTCCCAAAAATAAGACCGTATTCCTTAATGTCTAGCCTGTAATTTCACTGCCGAGAGGAGCCCTTGGATGCGCTGAGACTTAACCAAAACATGCGTTTTTGGCAAAATACGGGAAGGGAAGAATTACGACCGTATTCTTGCCCGTATTTCACCCATAATCGGGTTGAAGAGGCAGATTCGAGCCAAAGGAAAGGGATTCAACTTTTTGGAGCAAAAATAGAGTTCTAAAGAGAGAAAGTGCGAAGAACAAACCCTATGAGCTATTTTTAGTGGATTTCTCACCATTGAAACCCAGATTGCATTCCCAGAAGTGAAGATTGATATCCTAGAGCAGATTATTCTCATCTTTATGAGTATGACTGCTTTGATTTCTGTTTTCCTCTCTCTCTCTCTCTCTCTCTCTCTCTCTATGCAGTAGACCTTTCTCTCACTTGGGTATGAAGAACCTTAGTCCCATGTGTTAGGGATTTGAGTTGTAATAACTTTTGGGATGATATACTGATTGATTTTAATCGATTGAAGTGTGTTTATTAAGTCAATTGAATCTTGATCAACTTCTCTTGATTTCTCCTTCAACCTGTGATACATAGAATCTGAATAGGTTCTTAGAGTTTGGTCACTACTTTGTATTGGAATTTGTTTCCAATACTGGAGTTCCGTGTTAATTGTCTTAGCATTCTATCCCGGTGAAGACTAGTCGTATGTCGGTTAGTCTGTCTGAGAAGGCTTGGTCAGCTTAAGAGATTCCAAGCTACTGTCGGATCTTCCGCAGTTTAATCAACAGTGAATCAACCAAATGAAATTACAAATTGGACCTAACTAAGGAGCTACGAGGACTAAGTCCCGTGTGACTCTTCTCTTGCTTGAGAAAACCAGACAATTTACTACTTTCTTTCTTGTTTGGTTTGAATTCAACTTCACTCACTTAGTCCTGCTATATAATAGAAGTTCACGGAGTAGGCAGTAGATCTAGACCCTCGGGTTGATAAATTTAACTTACCCACTATTCTGCGTTTCCAGACTGCGATTATACTTCGTCGTAGTTTGGTGTTGTGTTTTAGTGAATCAGTTCCCCTATGAAAACCTTCATATCAAGAATACCTATGCCAAAATGCATGTTTTGGCATGCAAATGCCTTGAGAATAGAGGCTCGATAACACCTATTTTAGGTGTTATCATATATAGTTGGCTCCTCCATGTATTTGCTGACTAATCTAATACGTAGAGAATATCTAGTCATGTACAAGTCAAGTATCTCAGACTTCCCACAAGACTTCTAAACTCTGTTGAGTTAACCTTCTCTCGTTTGTCATCCTTGTATAATTTTAGTCCACACTCAGTTGGTGTGCTCACAGGATTACAATTCTCCATCTTAAAAATTCCTTCATCCTTTTGACTTACTTCAATTCCAAGATAGTATGACATTAGTCCAATGTCAATCATCTCAAATTCTCGAACCATAGTCTCCTTGAAATCTTCAAAAATTTGTGTATCATTACCTATAAAGACGAGATCATCTACGTATAAACAAACCATCAATATTAGGGGTGGTAAACGGTGTGGTCCGATCCAGACCAGACCAAAGATACGGTCTGTTGTCCAGACCGAGAGGCTGGAACACAAATCATGGACCAAACCATATACTATACGGTCCAGACCACACCTATTGGGTGCGGTCCGGTAGACCATGTTAAGAAAAATGAACTCTTGTTCGCCCTCCAACCCTTCGCCGATATCTATCAAAATAAAAATTCTAGTGACCAATATGCTAGTGAAACAAAAAAAAATTGTGATTGTAATTAAATGAGAAGAAATATGAGGATAGAAGTGGGTTTTTTCAATTTTAAAACACACACACACATCAAATATCCTTGTTTCCCTATTCCTCTTTGTGCTACCACTTCTCTCCTCTCTCGAGTGATCCGAAGGTTCTCCCGGTTGATAACCTTTGTGATGACGTTGAGGTAATTTTGAACTACTAAGATGGTCGCATATCTCTCAATAATTTTCCTTATCTCATCTAGGTGAACGAATTTTTTTCTCGTTTTTAATTTTTATCGACTACATAGTCTAGACATTGTCTGTGATTTGTGAATATTATTTATGAGTCTTTCTAGTTTTTGTGTGGTTCTTTGATAAGGAGATAACACATAAGCGATCCTTTGACAATTTGTTGGCTCTCAACTAGATGAAGAATCAACTAACTTTGTTTTTCAAATACACAAATGATGGTTCAATTTAGTGTTATTTTTGTCTGAGTTAGTAGGTAGTGTGTCGTGGTCTGTTACAGTTTACGGCGGTAGACCGCGGTCCAGACAACTTTAGACCACGCACTAAAAGAGGAGACCACAAACAAGACCAGACCATAGTTCTGGTCTCACGGTCCAGACCAAACCATACGATACGGTCTAGACCGCGATTTCCCATACGGTTTGGTCTAGATTCCCAACCCAACCCTAATCAATATTGCTCCCCCTTGCACCTTGAAGTATAAGGCATGCTCATGTGGACATTTACTGAATCCATTATGCTGAAAATACTTATCAATCCTATTGTTCCAAGCTCTCGATGCTTGTTTTGGACCATACAATGACTTCTTTAATTTTAACACCTTATCTTTTTGGCCTTCAATGATATATCTCGAGGGTTGCTCCACATAGATATCTTCCTCCATATATTTATTTAAAAAAGATGACTTTACATCCATCTGATGTATCTTCCATCCATTTTGAGCAGCGAGGGATATGACCATCTTGATACTTTTCATTCTCTCCACGGGAGCAAATACTTCATTATAGCCAATGCCTAGTCTCTAACTGTATCCTTTAGCCACCAATCTTGCTTTGTATCTGACAATTTCTCCCTTTGCAGTCTTTTTCGCCTTAAATACCCACTTCACACCAATTGGCTTGTGGTTCTCAGGAAGTGATACAAGCTCCCAATTCTTGTTCTTCTCAATTGCTTGAATCTCATTCATGATTTTACTCCATTTTTTCATCTGTGATGACTTCTTCAACATCCACTGGTTCATCATTAATGAAATGACAGTAGAGTGTCAATTAATCACCTTTGATGGTTGTCATTTCCTCATATAGATTTTCAAGGCGTGTATACTTTTGTGGCCTTTCTCGGGGACTTTCACTTGATTCTCCTTCTGGGCTGGCAGGCTCTTTATGACTGGGTGGACTCGATATAGGTGTATCTGTATCCGGTACTTCATCACTTTCATCCATAGTGAAGGGATAAAAGCAAGGTTGACCCACATTGACCCTGACCCGGTGAAAAAAACGGGTGGCACGCACCCGCCGGGTCGACCGCCACAAGGTACCGGGTTGGAGGTCAAATTGTGTTATTTTTTTCTTTGTTTTGCGAAATGCGCCTATTTTCCGATTTTTCTTTTCGCCTAACTCAATCTTTGGAATCCTAAATGGAACATTTGAATATTAATGTTATATAAGTGTGTGTGAATTTTCACTATATGTTGAATCTAAGTACAAAATGTTATTTTGGTGTAATATTATATGTTATAACTCATATGTTAGATGAGATTTGATATAATTTATCAGGATAAATACAATATAATGACGCTTTCCATATTTCCGGGCAAAACCGGGTGACCCATTAACCCTTGACCCACTAGCTCAACCGGGTCTGGGTCAACCCGCGAATTGACAACCTTGGATAAAAGGTATAATTCTTCTTTGCTTATGCAGTTCAATCCCATGTTGCTTCTTCATCAACTACCACGTCTCTGCTGATGATCAGCTTCTCTTCCACGGGATCAAACATCTTGTAACCTTTTGAGTGTTCTGAGTATCCCAGGAATAAGTACGTCTTGTTTTTATCATCTAACTTCTTCCTTTCTTGATTTAGTATGTGCAAATATCCGACACTTTCGAAGACTCGGAGGTGAGAGACTGTGGGTGTCCTTCTGCTCCATGCTTCTTAGGGTGTTTGATTCCAAACACTCTTTGTTTGTGGCATGTTCACCAGGTAGACTGCACAATCAATAGCTCCTTTGGTAGATTCTTACTCATCAACATGCTTCTCACCATGTTGAGGACAATTCTATTCTTCCTCTCAACAACTCTATTCTGCTATGGGGATCTGGGGACTGTGAGAAACCTGCAAATTCCTTGATATTCACAGAACCTTCTAAACTTCTTTAGCATGAATTCCCCTCCTCTATGTGATATCATTACTTTGATGTAGCGTCCACTTTCATTCTCCACCAGCATCTTGAACTTCTTGAAAGCTTCAAATGTATCTCACTTCTGCTTTAAGAAGTACACCCATGTCTTTCTACTATAGTCATCAATGAACAGTAGAAAATATTTTTTTCTTTTTGAACGATGTTGGGGGTAATCGGTCCACAGATATCTGCATGGACAAGATCAAGCGGTGCTTTAGCTCTTGACAGGGACTCCTTTGGGAAACTTGCCCCAAATTGCTTCCCAACTAAGCATCCTTCACACAGTTGATCAGGATGATTGATCACGGGCAAACCATGCACCATCTTCTTTTGACCAAGTAACTTCAATCCTCCAAAATTAAGATGTCCAAATCTGATGCCATAGCCATGTAGTATCCTTCACACACGCTTTCAAGCACTTCGTCATTTCCGTCTAAATGTTCAGCGTGAACATTTTGTTTCTCTACATTGGGACTCTGGCCAGCAACTGCTTCTTCTCATTTAGTAGCTGCAATTGACAATTCACCATATGGACTTCATAATTTTTCTCCATCAATTGACCCAAACTTAGGATGTTACTAGTCATGTCCAGGACATAGTACACATCACTGATAAATTGTTGTGGGCCATTCTTGAACCTGATGAGTATAGTTCCTCTCCCTTTGATAGGAACTTTCGAGGAGTCTCCAAATACGACATTTCCCTTCACTGATTCATCCATTTCCACAAACATGTTTCTTTTACCATACATGTGGTTGCATGTAACATAATCAAGATACCACATGTTGTCTCTCGGTTTTTCATCTCCTTGATCTGATAGCATCAATGTGCCTTTGACTTCTTCTTGCACGTTAATTTTTGGGTCCTCCGTCTCTTTAGGGGGGACTCCAACAATCCGATGCACAATTTCCCTATTTCGAGCAATTCTAGCACTGGACGTTGGATTTATCATGACCTTCATTTGATCTTCAACTTCCTCTTCCACGTCCACGACCTCTGCCTCTGGTGGACGTTTCATATTTCGTGGTGACATTTCCTCCATCTCTGCTTTGATATGATCCTCGACCTCTTCCTCTGCCTCTACAATTGCCTCTGGCTCGACCTCTTTTATGACCTCCTCCTCATGCACCTTCTTTCTCCTTAGTGGTAGTTTTTGTAGCTAACACTTATTCTGACGATTCTCCATTTCTTTTATGAAGCCTTTCCTCTCTGGCTTGCAGTGAGCCGATGACTTCATCCACCGTCAATTTTGATAAGTCTTTAGCTTCCTCCATGGCCACCACCACATAGTTAAATTTCGGTAATAGTGATCGTAGAATTTTCTCCACCACCTTGGTCTCTTCAATTTTCTCACCATACTGCTTCAATTTGCTGACGACAGACTTCACACGGGCGGTGTAATCTGAAACAGATTCATCCTCCTTCATTTTTATTGATTCGAATCTCCCATCAGTGTCTGAAGTCGAACCTTCTTTAGTGGTTTCACGCCTTGCATTTTCTTTTATAAAATATCCCATGCATTTCCTTTTGATCACTCCTTCTATTTTTTCTCGATACCTGCTTTTCAGCTCGAGTTAACCGAGAATCCTCAGTGGAATCTCGTAACCTTTCTCAACAATATCCCAAGCATCTTGGGATTACAACAAGGCTTTCATACGAATACACCAATTTTTGTAATTGGTTTTGGTAAGGTGGGGGAATTGAATAGGGAAAGTGGATTTTTCGGCAATGGACAATCGTGATAACAACAACATGAGAATTTTTTTTTTCTGATGTGGAAGTTCAGACTATGCTACAACCACAGAGTATACTCAGGAATAACTCGGACTCAGGTACCAATTTGTTGGAAATAAATTAATTTTATTTCCTTAAATCAACTTGGTGGGCACGTTTGTTTGGTGGGAGAAATAGGCTCAAGATAGGGCGCATAACCTTAGGGTGCATAACTATGAGTAACCAAATCTGGACCCTTCTTTTAAGTGGCTGTAGATCTAAGGATGGAGAATTAAAAGAATTTATTTTCCCTAGTTTTCTTGATTGGGTCATATCTTCTTCATTCTAACTCGGATTTCAATTTTTTTTTTTTTTTTGCACAGATGGAACGAGTTCGTTGTGCTCTACAAAATAATTTCATTTTCAATATTTTTTGAGAAAAAAAATTCATACATCTCGTTACCAACTCCATACCATATGGTATCTCCTTTGTTTTTTAGTCGTTTTCGGAAATTTTTGCACAGAAGGAACGATTTAATCATGATCTATTGGATTTCAAAAATTTCTGGGTGAAAACATTTCATAATTCTCGTTACCAACTCCATAGCGTACTATACCACCCTGGTATGGGGTTGTATTTTTCATATCATATGGTATGCTCTTATTTAATATTAGTCAATACCATATGGTACAGTCAATACCATATGGTATAGACTGGTAATAACTGACAAATTTTTTTGTTCCAAAAAATATCAAAGTGGATATCATTTTGAAAAGCACAATTAATCTGATCTAACTGCAAAAAAAACATTAAATTCCGATTTAAAACGAGTGAGAAATTCTCCGTTAAACATTAAAAAAAGAAAAATTAAAACTTTTCGAGGAGAGAGAAGGAATCGCTGATGTGGCGGATTCTTATTGAGTTATGCATGGAGTTATTAACCAGATGCCACAACTGCCAACTAACAACAATTAATTCTTCTTCTACACAATTCTGCACACACAACACTTTCTCCGTAGCTTAGGACTTTCTGATATTTTGCACATTATTTAATTAAACTTTATTTTAATTTCAACATCATTATGGATCAAATCTCTATCTAT